ACCTGTAACTTACATTTGAAAGGGGTGATTCCTGGTCGAATTGGAATTTGGACATGTTGGTTTTTGAGGAGAGGGGAAAACCGTAGTACCCGGGAAAAACCTCTCGGGGCAAAGGAGAGAAACAACAAGAAACTCAAACCATATATGGCGTCGACGCCGGGATTTGAACTTGGGCCATATTGGTGGGAGGCGAGCACTCTCACCACTTCGCCACCCTTGCTCCCCTTGCGTCATTGTACTTTTTTCACCACAAAAGTTAGTACACTTATTTCTATTGAAGGAGGTTAACCCCTTTCCCGATTGCAATATTATAAAATTTCTGACATTTAATAACTTGTTTTCGCCACTATGACATTCTCGTTAAGCATGTAGTAGAATGACGCACGGTGAGTATCACGTTTTCCCACCAAAGTGACGCTGGTTCTCGCACGCGCGCTTATTGGTATTGGAAAAATCTCGTTTCCGTGGTCGTCCTCGTCTTAGAATTTAATGCTCTCTACTACTGGGCTAGGCTCAGTCTCCAGCCTTGGGTGTCTCGATGCGCCCTCGGTACTCCCCACCCGACTACTGGCTATTTACACCCTAAATAAGACGAAAAACATCCCCATCTGCTTGTTTTGGGAGTCCCCGCCTTAAAAATTATCTGTTACTGAGGCCACACATGTCACTCCTTTTTGTTTCTTTTCCTTGTTGCAGAAGTAAGAGCGCCGCACAGCAGGTGACAGCTGTAGCGTCAGCTCAGGTCGCTGAACAGGAAGCTGCAGTAGCTGCTGCTGCCGTGCCTGACTGGGTCTATGATCCAAACGAACCGCGTTATTGCCTCTGCAATCAGGTCAGTCAAATGACAGAAGACTTGTTTATTCCTAGCCTGCCTCAGAGACGTAATCTAACCCCAGCATGGCTCGCAAGGACCTTGAAAAGTCATTGAAAAAGCATCATGTCCTTGAAAAAGTCTTTGAAAATTGAAAAATTGCGGGATATCCTTGAAAAGTCCTTGAAAGCTCCTTGAATAAAAATAACCTTCGTTATAAAAGAAAAAAAAAATGTTTGCGCAAAAGAATGATTGAAAGGACAGCAATACACAAATATTTGTGTATGAACCATGCCCGCATAGTAACAGCTGAGAAGCAGCGCCGAGATCCTTGTTCTCTTTGACAGATTTAGCGGTGGGGCCACCCTTTTTCTGTGATATCTTTTAATTTTTAAAGAATTCTCAGTAAAATAAAACGGGTCTATATTGCTTGCTAGTGTCCCGGCAACCCCTTTCTGAATATTTTTGTTCCGCCCCTGGTTCTGGACCTCCAACGAACTCAACGAATTTCCTTTCAACCTAATTGGCCAATCGAACAATGGCTTTTTAACAGGCCAATCATGGCGCTTGCTCAAATCCTGGTACACAGCTGGCTAAGCAGAACAAGGAGTTCGGCGCTAGTGGTACGCAAGTGAACTTAACAAGAGCTTTAATTTCGTCTTTTGCATTAACCTGAAGAAACAGCCGACATTTGAGTCCTCGAGACGCCACGACTGGTTACCCTACGAAATGACGTCTGAGAAACGCAACGTGCAAAAAAGTAGTGTCCGATGGCCCAGGGCTAGTGGATTTTGCCATCGGGGCTAGTGATTTTTGTTCTTAACTTGCCCGACGGGCAAGTGTTGTTTTTGGGAAAATTCAAATTACAGAAGGATTGTTCTCAATCCTGCTAATCAAAAAGGGTTTTGGGGCTAGTTAAAATGACCTGTGGGCTAGTACATGCTAGCTACAGCTTGCCCGAATGACAGGTCGTAAAACTGACTTTCTTTGCACCCTGGTCAAATGACTGCAGAAATTCTTTACGGATGACGTGTCACTACCCAGATCAGGGCAGTGACACGTCATCAGTATGGAAATTCTGCGCTCGTTCCTCAGACCTCATTTCGCGTAGAGGCCAGTGGTAGCGTCTCGAAGACTCGAAATGTCGACTGTTTTCTCATGCTACGGTGGAGCAGGCTAGTTCATTCCAGAATGTTTACACTAGTTCTTTTGGTGAAAGTCCTGGTAAAACATAGTGGAATATTTTAAACGAATTTAAAAGGGTTATTAAGTTGTTATTTCCTTTCTTTTCCTTCCGTCTCGGTGCTTTATTTCTCTTTATACACTTTCCTTGCGACTCTTAACCCTTAACCTGTATTTTTAATATTTATTTCTTTTCGGTAGGTTTCATACGGCGAAATGGTCGGATGTGATAATCCAGATGTAAGTACTGTACAAGATTACTGCAGTGTAATACAGTCACTCTGAGAAAATAAAATCTTAGAAATATAGTGATAATAGTAAGACTACGACTAAGACTACAGACGATTGTTGCTCTTGCAAATATCTACATGTACCTGTCGTTAGCGGTTAAACGAAACACATCTGTACCTTCGTATATCGTCTAACCTCTTACCCTTTGACAGAAGAGGTACCCCTTTCGTATACTTTTTATTTAACAATTAGTCGCCGAAGGCGATGTGAATATCGGACTATTCGCCGATGTTCACGTCGCCTGAGGCGACTAACTGTTTTAGTATACTTACAGTGATGATTATTCGAGAAAATAAAATTATTGATCAATTTTCGACTCCGAAACATCAACAAATCTGCCTGCCGTTTTGAAAACTTCTAGCCTTCAACGTTATAATCACCGCGCGGTGATTATAGCGGGATGAAGCGAAGCTCCTAGCCAATCATAGCGCCCTATTTTCGATAATCATCAATGTAATTATACTAATTACAAATGGTACCCCTTTTACATACCTATTTTAGAACTTTGCATCCTTTTACGTCTTTAACGCATTGGGAGAGAGATTAAGATTCACGTTTACGCCAAACTGTGGACGTGAATTTGTACCACGTGACCAAGTTTCCCCCTTATTTTCCGTTTACTCTTTATTGCTTCTACACAAAAATAAGTTGTTTTATGACAGTTTTAACCATAGGAATCGTTCGGGACCGTTTTTATCTGCTTATTTTCTATTCTGAGAAATTCTCAACTTGAGTCTGACGTTTGCCGTTTGCGGTAATTGTGAATCTCTCTGATAAATCACAAAACCAGAAAACTGAATTTTGTCGACTTTTTCAAAGCCATATCCTTGTGTTAGCTCTTTTCGAGATTTTTTTGGACAGATTTCCCTCCCTTTTCATAAACTTCAACTGGTGAAATCCCCACCCTTTTATATACCTGAAGCCTGAAAGTGGTACCCCTTTTTGGGTGGAGCCTCCCTGTGTGCCGTGGGCCATTAAAGGGAGTACGTCCCTTCCGGTGACTTTAAGGCTACAACAGATTGAATTATGGTCTCTCTTTACTGATTCGTTCACACCTGTTTTGCCTTGTTTGCTTCCAGTGCCCGATCGAGTGGTTCCATTACGGATGTGTTGGACTTACAGACGCTCCAAAGGGAAAATGGTTCTGTCCTCAGTGTCAAAACCAGATGAAACAACAGAGAAGAGGAGGACGACATAAATGAGCCTTGTAGTGTTTTCCATCGATGTGCAGTAAATGGGAGGATCTGTGACCTTCATACCGCCTCTGTAGTCTGTGTTTGACAACTCTCAGAGTTACACGTACGCGACTTGTTGTGAGTCGCGAGACCGGTGTTGTGTGACCACTGCTCGGCACCCTGGCTTTTGGACATAGCGTGACGTTCCAAAACATTAAACTATGAGAGAGAACACATCATAAATTTTTATGGGATTCGTTAGTTAAGGGCATTGTTTAGCTCAAAGGAGCACTTTAATTGACATATAGGAAAAAATCACACATGACATGAGTAATCGTCCGTGGAACTTTAATTATCGGCTCATACACGATATGGATCTGGAGAATTTGTATGTTCTTGATAGACCCTTCAGGGCCTAACATAGACTTGAATGTCATCCGTCTCTTCGCCCAAGTCCCAAACAGGTACCCTCTACCCTGGGTGCCAGAGGCTTTTCATGCGTTGTTTCCGGTTTCGGTCAAGTCTTAAAAAGTGACCCGAAAAAACCTCTGGTTCCCAGGGTACCAAACAGGTGGCAAGGGGAGAAACGGATGACATTTTAGACTAGGCCTAACAATGACTCAGGAAAATTTCCCTTTAACTATGTCTGCATCCTCCCTCGCAGTCGAACCCATTATCCAGAAATAAGATAAGATAAGAAGTATTTAATTAGTTATGTGAAGAATTCGTGATATGAATATTCAGGTTGCAGTAATTATAAAACTCCCAGAATATTGAAGATGTGCAAAAGTTTTAGCATAAGTGAAATAGTAATGTCATGTCGAACAAGACACTTTTTGGACCTTTTCGCGTAGTTTAGAAAGCTTTGAGAATAAACTTGAGCCTCTTTTCTAAAGCGAGTTTTACCCCATCTTTTCGTTTGGAAATAACTTTTCGCAAGAGTCATCAAGATATATTTTTCGCACAATTTTTATTCATAGGCAAATTAAACTAATTTTGAATAGTTATGCACCAGACCTCGCTTTGATAAAGAGACCAAGGGTAACTTGTTAATGGGCTATTTCTTAATGGTTGTTTCGAAAACGAAGACCGAAGCACGAAGCACCCAAATCTCGAAAACGAAGTGCTCCGATCCTCGTTTTCCAGTGCTTCGTTTTCGAAACTACCATTTCTTAATGCGTTGTAAAGCGCTCATAGACTAAGCAAATACATATATTCATACACGTTCATATTTTTCCAACATTCATAGTGAGCCACAAAGAACCGTACCTCAATAAATGCGGATGATAAACCGATCTGTTCGTTGTTTAACTTTCTGTTGACGTTGTTATTGTTGTGTGTTTTGTTTGTGATGATTAAAAAAATGTGTCTTCTGATAACTTCTGATGCCGCTCAATGTCCCCAGTTTTCCCCGGTTGAGATAAAAGCAAGCTCGACCCCAAGGTCTTCTCGTTTTTCGAAAATAAGAAGATCCTGGGAACGAGGTTAAAGACAAGTCTGGCTTTGCTGCCAGGCCAGCTGTCAATCCGATAATTTTCAACATGGCGTCGCTTTATTCGTGCGCGGCGAACGTCGTGGATAAAGTTATCAAGAAACAGGGCACAGCAAAATCCTTGGCTATCAACAGTCCATTCCCTAGAAAGAAGAAACTTTATGCTCTGGTGTGTGAAACGTTGAAGTGTAAGTGTGATGTTATATAGTGATGGGGTGCAGACAGATATATAAAACATCTCCCCGCCGCCGGATCCATAGCGCCAGACCACTGGAAAACACATGAGGTCTTGGAGTGTATGCTTGATTGAAAAGAAGCTTGCCTTACAAACGACATTACTGTAAAATTCGTTGTTTAGGCGTGAACTCCTCAGAACATCCAAATACTTTCATCGTATTTCCAGTTGCTGTTGTTGTGAACAATAAATTGTAAATAGAGTGATGAATATTTTGCCCTCTTCATCAATTTCTGCCACGTTATGGGCTTAATTTTAGAAAACCTCCTCTAAATGGTCAACCTCCACTAAACAGTCACCTGGCTATTTCCCAAGGGTGGCCGCTTAATAGAGGTTTGACTGTATTTTATTCAAAAACACACTTAATCTGAAAGGTCACAAATGTCATTTACTAATTTTTAATTCTCTAGATAAAGGAATTCTTGAAGAAATATTCAAAGAAACAAAGCTGTTAAAACTTGAAAAAAAGGTGAGACTGCATGACCACCTAAAATGCAAAGATTTAGTGATCAGTTTGTTCTAATGGACGCAATTGCCTGCTGGAACTAAACCACCACAGGGAGTCTCCTCCTACAGCCTGGGGCGTAGCCAGGCCTTAGGGCGTAGGCCTGACTCTACAAATTTTTTGGTTTTATCACTCTGCCACTTGTAAAAAATTATGCGTTGTGTTAGCCTGCGCGCGGACGAAATTAAACTCTGGTTAACTAATCAGAGTTTAGTTATTGTCTGCACGCAGGCTAGCGTTGTGTGGGTCAGCTAAAAAAATGAGCTTAATTTATTTCCCCCTGGTCCAAAATCAGCAAATTTACCTTGTTCAAATGAAAAGAATCATATATTAGCATGTATCTACAGCAGCATGGAAAACTATACCTCTTTTGAAACAGGGTTCATACAGGTCAGGGAAAACCTGGAAAGTCATGGAATTTAAGCATTTCATTTTCCAGGCCTGGAAAGTCAAGGAATTTAATTGTTGGTCTTGGAAGGTCATGGAATTTTAAAGTTTTGTTTGATAGATAAGTTACTGCAGATGACAAGCGGCACACATTTTGGTGGACACCAGAGTCTGTACTGTTTGTTGAACTGTTTAATGTGCAAATATACCATGAAACAAGGAAAGTTTTTAAAATTTTTGAAAGTGATAGCTAAACCTAAGGTCTTAAAAAGCTTTAAAAAAGTCATGGAAAGTGATGGTATATGGATCATATGTAAGTAATACCTTTGAGCATATTTTTGTTTCACATGCCAAGAGAAGGTGTGTGAAACAAAAGCTGAAAAAGGCTTCTGCTTTTGAAAGCTATTAAAGCGTTGAACCACTCTAGCCTTAAGATGTAGAGACCATGATGTAGCTCCTTTAAATGTTTTCAATTGCATTTTTTCAGACATTACTAGGCAGATCTGTAAAAATGCATTATTATAGTACATGTCCAATTTTCTTGTCTCCTCTTAGCTGAGACACAACTATGCCTTGGTGCTGGTCTATGATTTCCTGTTTGGGCAAGGTATTCAAGGTGGTGGAGAATTCAAACAGTGTATCTTAAAAAACAAGTCTGTATTGCAGTCATGTTTGGCTCGTATGAAAGTTCGCGCCAAAGTCCACAGAAATGAGGACCTTTTACCCAAGAAGGCTCATGAAGCAGGTTGGAATTTGAATGCCTAAAGGAGGGGTAGTGTACTACAGCTATAGCTCTAGTGATTTCACTAATACATGAATTAAAGTTTCTGAATATTTTGCTGCTATTGTTGTGTTATTGTCAAAGCTGTCCTCCAAGGAAAGTTGAAGGGAGCCCATACAGTGCTCTGAACCTGTGAAATCCTGGTTGACCAGCATTATAATTTGTACAATTTTCAAGTTGCCTGGGAGCTAAAATTATGCACTACTGCACTACGAGCCACCAGGCTTTGCTAGAGCACAGCCTTGATTATTATGATTATTATTTTATCATAATATTATTAGTAATTGTTTTGTTTTGTATAGTGAAGGTGCACTTATCTTTTCTAGCTTAATTACCAGTTGCAAAAATACATGTACTTGAGACAATGTACCTTATTTTTGCCTAGATGGTCTTTCCATAATCCTGTTTTTGGGATCCACCTTATTGTTACTACTACAGTTCTAAGGCAGAGAGAGAGAATTGGCTCCTTTGTGACTCTAGGACTTTACAAATGTATCCCTGCCAATAATTATCACATATTAAATGTCCTTCTCCCCGTACATATAGCAGTTAATATTTTTAGAAGAGGCTGTGTGATAAAAAGCAATCTGGAGATTGAAGAGGCTATAACACCCCCTGAAAAAAACCAAGAGGCAGGAGGCAACAAATTTGCTTTTTACAAGCGTGACTGATGATTCAAACCAAGGACATAATCATTAGAGTAACTTATTTTGCAGAAAATTAATTCAGAAAGGAGGCAATATGCAACACCAAGAAATGAAGAAACCCCCTAACTAGTGATCTAATAAATATTATGTTGCTTCAGGTTCTATTCCACGTTACATCAGAATCAACAGGATTAAGACATCAGTAGAGGAAGTAATCAAACATTTTGAACAAAATGATTACCAGCAGGTTCAGTTAGATGGAGTTGATGCATTTATTCAAAAGGTTAGTACATTTTTTAGGGTAATTTGCAAGAAGTAGCAGCAGGTCCTGACAATAATTAACCCTATATGTAACAAAGTAAACAAAAAAATCTATAAAATAAACAGTGTATCGATCATTGAAGCCAACATTAATGCTTACTTTTCACTTAGGGCAAAATGTTGACTTAGGGGAGGGGTAGGTGGGCAGTTTCCCAGAAACGTATCCTGATGGGCAGTGTATTATAAGAATATGTCATGCTGTGTTTTTCTAAGGGGTTTGACTACTCCCTAATGAGAAGATGGTACAAATAATGTAACATAATCTGGGATAAAGTGCTATTTTTTCTATTTGCATTTTCTGTCCCCAGAGCAAGGAGTCAACTGCTAGTAAACAGTTCATGTGTGATGTACATCTGCCAGACGTTCTTATTTTCCCTCCTGGAACAGATCTCCATAACCATCCTCTTTACGTCAGTGGACTTATCTTTCTTCAGGACAAGGTGAGGAGTGGATTGGCACTTTTACACCCTGCGAGTGTGTCCAAGCTCAGAAACATACAGTAAAATTTATTGCCTTGCCTTTCATAATCTCATTGGTCATTTCACATCATAGTTGTGAAAAGAAAATACATGTGAAACATGTATTACATTCACAGTTGAAGCATTTGACAACTCTTTTTTTTTTATTTGTTGTTATTACAATTCAGGCCAGCTGTCTCCCAGCACATGTTCTAGACCCACCCGCTGGATCTCATGTCATTGATGCTTGTGCAGCTCCTGGCAACAAAAGCAGTCATTTAGCTAGCTTAATGAACAATCAAGGGTATGTCACTATAATAATTACAGCAGAACTCATTTAAAAGGCCAACCCTTTCCAATTCATGGTCACATGACCTATCTCATGCTTATAAATTAACTCTTAAAAGTGCAATTTGATGATGGTTTGAAAAGCAGAGAAATACGACAGTAAAAAATATTCAGCAATGGAAAAATTGCTAGATCACATGCCTCGTAGTCTTTGGTTTATACTTACAAACCCTTATAATTTTGCAGGCATTCCAACACTCTCCAGAATCTTACTCAGTAGTCTTTTGTGTCAGTTACCTCAATGAAGTTGCATTAACAATGCATAGTTAAGGTGGCCGTAAGGAGGGTTCTACTGTATCCATCTTCTACTGGAATGTAATCACCTAAGATAGCGAGGGTTCTCCAATACTGCGACAAATTTATGCATGGTATTATATTGTATTGGCTTCACACTACCATATTGTACAAAAGCATAACAATAAAGAACGAAGCAAGACAATGAGAAATTTAACAAAGCCATACATAAATTTTGCAGAGTATTGGACAAGTATGAAGATAGCCTCGAATGTGGGAAAGGAACGCGTGACAAAGTCCTTAAAACGTCTGCTCGGTGGCTACACCCAAGATTGCATACTGAAGGGCATTTGGTTGCGCTGGCAAATTCCTAAGGAATCCACAAATAATCAGCGTCAAAATTTGTTTCGACACTTTGCCTTGAAGAGTCTCTCTGACATTTTGCCTTCCCTCTCCCACTCCCTTCATGCAATGTGACTGTTGTCCGGCTTTTCGAGCTACCTATAGAGAAAACAAACACCCCAACTTTGAATGGAGGGGAGGGGGGAGGGGTGTGGCTTGTTTGCTCTTCGAAGTTACCCCATTCGAGTACAATTTTTATTATTGTCTCAACAATTAAGTTGCTGATTGCAGCGAGATGGTCAAGGATGTACTGGGCCTCTTGCGTGAACATTCAGCGATTCAATTAGTCTGCAAAGAAATTGCACATGTATAAAGGAAACGAAAAATGTGTTTAACATATTCCTTTCCTTTTTTTGTTTTGGACAGAAATATATTTTCATTTGACACCAACAGAAAGAGGCTGGCAGTGATGCAAAGGCTGATGAAGATAGCTGGTGCTAGCTGCGTTACAACATCAAACTGTAGTTTTTTAGAGGTTGGTGTCACAGAAAGTCTTCTAAATAAGTAATAACCTTGATTTCCAGTTCTCGTGGCTTAAACACAAGGATTACAGACCTGCAGACCCCATGGTCTGTGATACAAGAAGAGTCAGTTTTGTTAAGATCATACATCAATAAAGCCTATCATACAATCATCATCATCATCATCATCATCATCATCACCATCATCATTATTGTCCTCATCAACTAGATAAATTTATGTGTTTTTTTTAAACTCCATTATTTTTGTTTCTTACTAGGTAGATCCTGTAGATGAGAAGTATAGCAAGGTAGAATACATTGTTGTGGATCCCTCGTGTAGCGGGTCTGGTATTGTTAGCAGAATGGACAACCTTGTTGATGAGGATCAAGCCACTGAAGACAAAATGGTGAGACTGGCCACCGGGGCCTGGCCAGTGAGAAATTTTCCAATGGCAGACAGAAACAATAACTGAGTACGAATGCCCAACTGCTTGAAAAATATCCAAACCTTAATTTAGAATCTGAGCGTGTTTAGAGACTAGGGAAGTCAGTGTCAGTGGTGGGCCTTTAGAAATCGTTCAAACAGGAGAGCTTGATACGGGTTGGATCTGTCTCTCTCAAGTTTAAGATTTTCAAGAGTGTGGATTTCCACGTCTTTGTGTTTGAGCCAAAAAGAACAGTCAAATTTATCGAATGTAGTAAAGTTTTCTGAAAAAAAAAGGCTTAATTTTTAGATTAGGCATTCGTGTTCAATCCTCTGCTCCTTAGAGCGTGGCTAATTGTCCGAGTTCTCGCTTTTGTCTTTGAGACTTTGAGACTTTGACCTCCTGCGATATGATTTTAACAGACACTTAACGTTGCTGCTTTTAAACCAGATGTACGAATTAAATACTGATCAGTTTGAGTGGGAACNATCATCATCATCATCATCATCATCATCATCACCATCATCATTATTGTCCTCATCAACTAGATAAATTTATATGTTTTTTTTAAACTCCATTATTTTTGTTTCTTACTAGGTAGATCCTGTAGATGAGAAGTATAGCAAGGTAGAATACATTGTTGTGGATCCCTCGTGTAGCGGGTCTGGTATTGTTAGCAGAATGGACAACCTTGTTGAGGAGGATCAAGCCACTGAAGACAAAATGGTGAGACTGGCCACCGGGGGCCTGGCTAGTGAGAAATTTTCCAATGGCAGACAGAAACAATAACTGAGTACGAATGCCCAACTGCTTGAAAAATATACAAACCTTAATTTAGAATCTGAGCGTCTTTAGAGACTAGGGAAGTCAGTGTCAGTGGTGGACCTTTAGAAATCGTTCAAACAGGAGAGCTTGATACGGGTTGGATCTGTCTCTCTCAAGTTTAAGATTTTCAAGAGTGTGCATTTCCACGTCTTTGTGCTTGAGCCAAAAAGAACAGTCAAATTTATCGAATGTAGTAAAGTTTTCTGAAAAAAAAAAAAGGCTTAATTTTTAGATTAGGCATTCGTGTTCAATCCTCTGCTCCTTAGAGCGTGGCTAATTGTCCGAGTTCTCGCTTTTGTCTTTGAGACTTTGAGACTTTGACCTCCAGCGTTATGATTTTAACAGACACTTAACGTTGCTGCTTTTAAACCAGATGTACGAATTAAATACTGATCAGTTTGAGTGGGAGCCACTTTGACCCAGTCATTTCGCCCCAAGTAAGGGAATCCAAGACAGTCTTGGATTCTGGATTCTACGCCGTGAATTCCGGATTCCAGGTACTGGATTCCGAATTCTTTGCCAGTGTAACTTTGATTCCGGATTCCAATCGTTAGTGGAATTGTAAATTCCGTGAGCTGTATTCTGGATTCCAAAGCTTGGGATTCCGGATTTCTTAAGCAAAATTTTTCCGGATTCCGGAATCCGAATTCCCTTACATGAGGTGTTGTGAACTATTTGCTTGTTGAGTGAGTCTCCTGTTTCTTTCAGAGACTAAGTTTACTTTTCGTTCTGTTCGCAGAATAGACTTGAATCACTTGCCAAGTTTCAGTTGTCAGTATTGAATCACGCCCTTTCATTTCCTTTTGTAAAGAGGGTGGTGTATTCCACTTGTTCTGTTCATCAAAAGGTATGGCTACAACTCCTGCTGTTAAACCTACTACGGTGACTACCACATTTAGTAATCTGTAATTGTTTCTCAAGTGCGGAGCACCACGTCAAACGAGATGACCCACGGCGACGAAGCGAGTGGTTATTCTTGCCTTGGCAAAAATAGGGCGCTAGTTTTGAGCAGTCTTATACTGAGCTCGTGGCAAGTTCAAAACCTTCCATACGTATTTTCTTCTTTGTGGGTTCGTAAACGAAGATAGGGTGCAAAACTCCAACTCGATTGC